GTTAATTTAATTAATGACCCCAGTCTGTGCGAGGTTTCAAAAGAGTGAACCGTAGACCAAAACAAAAACCTAATTAAAATACCAAAATGAGGTGATACGAAAATGGCATGGAAACAATTGTAGATAGCAAAGACTGTTGACGGCAAAGATCGGATCGGATGATAGGCTACAGTCGTCATCATATTATGAACAAGGAAAGGAAAATAGACATCTAGACGCTTGTTAACCGCCAAAAATTTTATTTGAAAACGAACTTAGCTGCTTTCTTAAGTCCTCCACGAAGGTACTTAGAATAGAATAGTTAAAAATCGTCGATTATTGCAAAAGATCTTATCATTAAAAATAATGATTATAGACCTCCAAGAAGGCTCACCTGCCAGAAGACCCTTGGAAATGTTGGCTTAACTCAGGTTTAGTAAAAATTCTCTGATGATAAGTATTTGCACCCTGATACAGGGAACCATTTTAAATCATGTTATTTTCATAAGCTTTCGAATAATAATCTTCGTTTTTGGCTCCCTCTCAGAACGTATTTTAAATTGTTAAGAAATCCAAGTCTTTGTTCACTGTCCTCTAAGAAGCCTTTAGAAATCTTCAATGGGTATTGGAATTCTTAAGAAATCCACAATAATAGTCGTCCAAGAAGGCTACTAATAGTGGTCTTAAAATATTTTTAAATTCCACGTTCAACAAAGATCTTGGAAATACATGTTAGTTGGCTTCAAAGAGGTTCCTAAACTTATTATAGCCTTTGCCATATGGCTAGAGAGGGTACATATAATATGGTATGGCCAAAACGTGCCTCATCGTGACAACGGTTTTAAACCCTAGGTCTCTTTGGACCAAATCCGTTTCAGGATATTTAAAGTCGATCTAGCGATGTCCGCCCGTCTGTCTGCCTGACGGTCTGGTGCGCACGATAACTCTCGGCGGGAGTATCCGATTTGATCCAAACTTGGTACATCGTAATATTATTATCAATTATTATTATTATTATACTTAGATCGAGTTCTGAGATGGACAATCCGTACTTTCCCACACAAAATGTCGAAACTGTTAAAAGAAAAATTATATATTCTTTACTGCACAGAAAGAGAAAGGAAAATCCGATTTTGCTCCAACTTTGCTAATCCTAATATTTGTATCAGTGCTAGGTGAAGGGCGAAAATTGAGCATATCGGTAATCTCCATCAAGTACCTCCCCCACAAGGGATCAACATTTTTAATAATTACAACTCTTATAAAATGTGAGGTAAGAGTCCGATTGTCTTCAAATCACAATATTTTTATTAACCCAAGGTCTAGTGTGAAGATAGATTATATCGGTCCACTTTTTCTGGTACCTCCACACAAAGGGTCAAAATTTGGAATATCCATGACGGTAAACTAACATACGATTTCATTCAGACTTAGTACATCTCAATATTTCCATCAACACAAGATTTGCTATGTCTCCCCCACAAAGCGGCAAAGTTTTGAATAACCCAAACGATCATAAAATCCAAAATAGAGATCCGGTTCTTTTCAAATTACACACATGATTATATTTATACCCTCAGCCATATGGCTACATGTGATACGGTCAAAACGTGCCTAGTCGAAATAACGGCTTTAGACCCTAGGTCTCTTTGGACCAAATCAGTTTCAAAACATTTGGAGTCGATCTAGCGATGTCCGCTCGCCCGTCTGTCTCTCTGTCTGGCTGGTGCGCACGATAACTCTCGAAGGGAGTATTCGATTTGGTCCAAACTTGGTACATCGTAATATTTTTGTCAAACTTAGATCGATCGCTGCCGTACAAGCCAGTGTTGAGAGGTCCCCAAGAACATCCCAAAAACGCCGTTCTCAGCAGTTGGGCATGGCTCGGTCCACTTTACAACGGATTATTCGCATTGATTTGTATTTGTTCCCGTACAAAATTCAATTGACGCAAAGAATGTTGCTTGCGGACAAGCCTCGTCGATTGGAATGGGCCCAAAGGTCCGTCGAATATGGGAAACCCTGTATATGGTTAATACATAAAAGGATAACTATTTTCACAAAATTTAGCAGGGAGAGATTCTGTCAGATCTGAATTCAAAATGTCAAGTTACTCACGACTGGCTTTTCTATTGTGGCCGAAACCCTCAAAATACCGACAATTAACAAGTACAGTAAAATGGTCCCAATTTCAAATACTGGAGCAATCTTGACAAATTTTACCATGAGGAGAATATACCAACTCAGAACTCTTAATGTTATGTAATACATGCTGTGGTTTAAAATTGGGATAAAAAAAATTAAAATACCCCAAATCGGGAAGTGTCGCTATATGAGGGCCTTGCCGAAACGTGGACCGTTATGTCCCATTTTTAATACCAAACATTCTAGGGGTAATATAAATGTCTGAGAAAAATTTCAGAGCGATAGAATGCTTCCCTGAATTAATCTCCATTTCTGCCCCCATTGTGCAGTGTGGCGTATGAGTAGTGACAGCACTTATACGCACCAGAATCCTTCATAAACAAAAATAACTAAACAAGCAGCTATTTTTGACTGGGCCGAATACCTCTTAAATGAGAACCGTTATATTAGGGCTATACAAAGACATGGACCTGCGTAGAAAATTATCCGTCAAAGGTTGAAGTGTCCATTATGAACTTTAAATACGAAATTTGAAAATATTTCGGTGAATACTGACGTTAAATCATCAATTCGGTATTCGGAATTTTGACTATTTTAGGTGCAATATTCACCGATTTTTTTTTTCAAGTTTCGTATTTGAATGTTGTAATGGCTTATGACAAAAAGTTGCCTATGCAGGTCCACGTCTTCGTATAGACCCCAATATATTGACTATATTCGGTATTTTATAAGATTTAAATAGAATTTTTAACGGAATTTATTTATTTATTTTTTTTTTAACAAATCCGTTCCAATTCATGGAGGGTATTCAAAAAACGGCACAACCGAACTTAATGCTTTTTATACCCTCCACCATACTATGGAGGGTATATTAACTTTGTCATTCCGTTTGTAACTCCTCGAAATACTCATGTCAGACACAACAAAGTATATATATTCTTGATCAGCGTAAAATTCTAAGTCGATTTAGCGATGTCCGTCTGTCTGTCTGTTGTAATCACGCTATCTTTCGAACGAATTGAGATACAAAGTTAAAATTTTGCACACAGGTTTATTTTTACAGTAGGCATGTTAAGTTCGTAAATGAGTCATGTAGGTCCACGTTTTCATATAGCCCCCATAAAACGGTACCTCCCGATATTCGGTCTTTTGATGATTTTAGCGACATTATTCACCGGAATTGTTTCCAATTTGGTATTTGAAGTTCGCAAGGGATACTACAGCCTAAGACAGAAAATTGTCTGCGCAGGTCCACATCTTCGTATAGCGCCCATATAACGGTACCTCCCGATATTCGGTATTTCGATGATTTTAGCGACATTATTCACCGGAATTGTTTCAAATTTAGTATTTGAGGTTCGAAATAGATACTACAGCCTAAGACAGAAAATTGTTTGTGCAGGTCCACGTCTTCGTATAGCCCCCATATAACTGTACCTCCGCATATTTGGTATTTTGATGATTTTAGCGACATTATTAATCGGAATTGTTCAAAATTTGGTATTTGAAGATCGCAATGGATACTACATCCTAAGACAGAAAAATGTCTGTTCAGCTCCATGTCTTCGTATAGCCCCCATATAACGGTACCTCCCTATATTCGGTATTTTGGTGATTTTAGCGACATTATTAATCGGAATTGTTCAAAATTTGGTATTTGAAGTTCGCAATGGATACTACAGCCTAAGACAGAAAATTGTCTGTTCCGCTCCACGTCTTCGTATAGCCCCCATATAATGGTACCTCCCTATATTCGGTATTTTGATGATTTTAGCGACATTATTAATCGGAATTGTTCAAAATTTGGTATTTGAAGTTCGCAATGGATACTACAGCCTAAGACAGAAAATTGTCTGCGCAGGTCCACATCTTCGTATAGACCCCATATAAAGGTACCTCCCTATATTCGGTATTTTGGTGATTTTAGCGTCCTTATTCACCAAATTTTTTTCAAATTACGCATTTAGAGTTCGTAATGGAATCTCCAGTCTGTGACAGAAAATTGTCTATGCAGGTCCAGGTCTTCGTATAGACCCCATATATCAGTACCTCCAATACTCACCGAAGTTGTTTGAAATGTCGTATTTGAAGTTCGTAATGGATGCTACAGAATATGACAAAAAATTGTCTACGCAGGTTCAGGTCTTCGCACAGCTCCGATATAACGGTACCTCCCTATATTCTATACTTTGATGATTTTAGCTACATTATTCGCGTTTATTTCAAGTTCCGAATTTGAATTTGGTAATGACTCATGACAAATAAGGCCTGAGTGGGTCCACGTCGTATAGGCACGAATATCACGGCAATATTCCGTATTTTTAAAATTTTACCAAAATTTTTTCAGGATTTTATTTCCAAATTCGTTCCAAATGGTGGAGGGTATTCAAAGTTCGGCCCGGCCGAACTTACTGCTTTTTTACTGGTTGTTAAGTATTCCATGGCGTATGATTGCTGTCATTATGTATGGACACCCATGTACAAAATATCATAATTTCCTTGTGGACGTTTCTATGAAATATTGCAAATTAGTTATGATCTTGAAAAGATAGCGTGGCGTATGAGTGATGACAGCACTTATACGCACAGAAATCCGTCATAAACAAAAAAATGCAATTAAAGGTATCATTGCAATTATGAATTGTAAATGATAATGCCTTGCTAAAATTTTTATGAAGAAAAAAATCTATAGAATTTAATTTTATTGGATTTTATAACAAAAAACAGCAATTGTTTAAAATTCCTCCCGATATTTATTTAATTTCTATTCAAAAAAATTGTTTTTTCAACATTTTTTTTCTTTTAACAAAAAAAAATATCTATAATTCAATTATAACACAACAATAACAAAAAACACATTAACATTTCTATTACAGGCATATCAACGATAGTGACACCAGCACGAACAACAACATCAATGCTCTGATTATAGCTGACTGGATAATTACAACAAGTATAACAACACACTGAGAAACGAAAGCAAAACTCAAGTCAGGCAAACAGTTTTTTTTTTTTTTCTTCAGAGTCATGACCTGTTTTTGCCTGCAGCCCTTAAACTGTGTGGACATGGCTTGCATGCTCCTCAAGTCACTGTAGCCAGAGCTGTCAATGTAAATTTGAATTTTAAATAATGAACTAACATTTGCAATGACGTCGACTCCATATGCCGGGCCTTAAATACGAGTTTTGGAGCTAAGGAAAACTGTTGTGGAAAAAGAAGCCAACAAAAAAAGAACGGAAGAAAAACATTGAAAGAGAAAATAGGAAAAAAGGAAATTGAGAAAATCTGACACCCACCCAGCCCTGGTTGTATGGCATAAAGAGCCACAGCCGTTGAGTGGAAGAATATAAAAAAAAAACAAAAAACACAACAACAACAACAAATACCATTCGTTTTTTTTCTGGGTCAATTCATATTGGATTACGTGTTGCCAGAGAATTCACCAACAAAGTATGGTCATATGTTAAATGTATTGAAAAGGCCAGGCAGGACCAAGTAAACGGTTTTTTTTGCCCTTTACTACCCAAAAAAAAAAAAAGAAGAAGAGAAGAGGAAAAACAACAACAAAAAACACCAAACAAAGGCCAATAAATTTTAAACAAACAAAGTAAACATTCACATATGAGTTTGACAAACAAAAGACAGCAACAACAACAACAACAACGAATTTGATTTTTTTTTCTTCTTCTTCTGCTCGATTTTGGGGCCCAGAGAAGTACACAGTTTGGCCTAAGCAAACAACACCCTCACAAGCAAACAACCAATCCGACTGGCTGGCAAACTTTATGGAGATTGTGTTTTTTTTCATGTTTCGACAAACATTAGCAAAAACAACAACAACAACAATTTTGACTGCTGGTCAAAATAAATTTTGAAATTGAACTAAATGTCTGTTGGCTGGGCCCGAAAATAAATTCGTTTGCAAAACACACCGCTCACACACACAGCGCCGAACATTCCTATCTCTCTATGGATGGCCAACAAAAAGGAAACGGAAATAGCACAACAACGGATATATCCAAACCTCTGTTAAACACACACACACAGAGACACACGTACACTCACACACACTCCCAGCTAGCTAGCTAGTCAATGTCAATGAGCGATGGCCAAAATTTTAAATCACCAAAACTCTCATAAACTAAAAGCAGAGGCAGCAGCAGCACTACCACCAGTTGTAGTTCGGCAACACGACGCGGAAGAGGAAAGGGACGGCCAAGCAGCAGTAACATATCCCCAGGCCCATACAACAAAAATAGGCTTGGAAACTTTTCCACAAACTTTTCAGTGCCGAAATCTGCAGCAGCAACCAAAAAAATCTCATCATGAGTCACAGCCGAATGACGGGAAGCAACAACATGGCAAAGGCCAGCAACAGCAACATTGTTCACACATTAACACCAACACCAAGCGGGCACAATTGTTGCCACAGCTAACAACAACAACAACGATGCAACAAAAAGTGCCAGCTCAACACCTGCAAGCAGTAGCGGAAAAAACCAACAACAACTATAAATCCATAGTAGAACCTGCCTCAAAGACTTATAACTCAACGACAATGCCATCATCATCCTCGTCCTCGTGCAGTAGCTCACTGGCCGGGCCCAACTCTCCATCATCATCATCACCATCGTTATATCTACCCCAACTCTGGCCCCCCTCCTCGACTCTCTACTCCAACTACAGCTGTTGTGTTCTAACCTATAATCTCTTTGCAGCCTATGCTGAGGCTGCTACGCTACAGCTGAAACGCAAAACCTCACTGACAAAACTCTTCTATGCCGCCAGTGGCTGGGGTTGGACCACAACTGGGGTGCGACGTCACAATGACATGAGCAGTATTTGTTATTTAATACTCATGGCCTTTGTCTATTGGGGTGTTATGATTCGGGCCGCAGTGGCCACGAATTTGAGTAGCAACAACACCACCAGCAGTAGCTCGTCAGCATCCTCATCATCGTCAGCCTCCTCAACAACAACTCTAAATACCACTCTGCAGCACGTTTCGGAAATAAGTGGCAATGAAGAGTTCGCCTTGAATTCCATAGCCAAACTGTTTGCATTGAATCCCGAGGAGATGCCACAAAATGCCAGTCGAACGACGGATCTGATCACCGGCAACTCTGTAAATTCTCAAATGGAAAGTCTTTTGCCATTTCTCTCTTTCTCCTCCTCTTCTTCTTCTTCTGCTTCGTCGTCGTCGTTACCTGTCTCTCCGGATATTTTAAGCAATTACCAGCGACGCCTATTAACACGTCGTGAAGCCGCCAATGTGCCTGATTTCGATGATGATGATTCCAGTTATCATGATGATGAGTTCGATGAATATGAGACGCTAATTCGTAATAAATCTGGTAAGTTTACTCCGCAGAGATCTTAGAATTTAAATGCAAGGGGACATCAGGACGTATAAGTGATGACAACACTTATACGCACCATCCTCCTTTAAAAAAGATCAAAGCAATTTTCGGCAATATAGCAATGACTAGGGAATGGAAAACTCCCAAATTTTCTAATCTAACGTTATTTTAGATGTCATATCAGAAAATTTTCGGTCTTAGGCCCATATTATTTTGCGAGAGGGGGAATAACAATTCAGATATAAAATTAAAAGTTGTTTGTAAATAAAAAGGAAGCCCTGATGAAAATCATATTCAGACGATCAAATTTAGAAAAACAAAACGATTAAAAAAGCTGTAAGTTCGGTCAGGCCGAACTTTAGAGCAAATTTGGCAATTTTCAAAAAAATAAAATCCGTTAAAAATTCTGTTAAAATCTATTACAATTTTTCAAATTGTTGTCCCTCTATGGAATAGGTTCCGAAGGAATGAACCAATATTGACCATTTCATATGGGATCTAAATAAATATGATAGAAATATTGTGAGGTACCAGGATTGGACTATACCGACTACTTCCTTCACTTTATATGACATATGTGATAATTTTGAGAAAATTTTAAAATATAGGCACCAGATATTGTCGACCGGAGTATTCCATTTTCATGTTTCATCTAATACAGATACAAATATGGACACAATTACAAGAAAATCGAACAATTATATCCAATTTGATGCTAAATCATAAATTCCATATTCATCCAAGGCTTCCTGTCTGGCTGATTTGTGCGCATGATAACTCTCGAAGGGAGCATCCGATCTGGTACATCGTAATATTATTGTCAAACTTAGATCGAGATCGGAGATGGGCAATATCGGTCCATCCCTTCTGGTACCTCCCACACAAAACGTCAAAAATTTTCAAAAAAAAAAAATATTTTACTGCACAGAAAGGATAATCCGAATTTGCTCCAGCTTTGCAAATCCGTATATTTGCATCAGTGCTAAGTCAGGTGCAAAAATGGACAATATCGGTCCACTCCATCAAGTACCCCACAAAGGGGCAAAATTTTGAATAATTATAACTCTTATAAAATGTTATGTAAGACTCCGATTGTCTTCAAATTTCACTCATCCCAATATTTATGTTAACACAAGACCTGGTGTTAAGATAAAATATATCGGTACACTCCTTCTGGTACCTCCCCCACAAATGGTCGAAAATTTCAAAAAATATATTTTTTCTGCACAGAAAGAGAAACGATAATTCGATTTTGCGCAAACTTTGCAAATCCTAATATTTTTGTCAGTGCTATTTCAGGTGCTAAAATGGACAATATCGGTCCAATCCATGAAGGGTCAACATTTTCAATAATTACAACTCTCATAAATGTAATATAAGAGTCCGATTGTCTTCAAATTTCACACATCCCAATATTTTTATAAACCCAAGATCTGGTGTTAAGATGGAATATATCGGTCCACTCCTCCGGCACCTCCTCCACTAAGTTTCAAATTTTTAAATATCCGTGAAGCTCATAAAACGCGAAATTACCATTCGATTCCTTTCAGACTTGGCACATCTCAATATTTCCATCAACACACGATTTGTTATAAAGATGGAAGTGATCGGACTTTTTCTTTCTGGTACCTCCCCCACAAAGGACATAGTTTTAAATAATAAAATACGAAAAAAGCATCCAGTTCTCTTCATATTTCACACATCTCATTATTTCTACTAAACAAGATCTGCTGTGAAGATGGAATGTATCGGTCCATTCCTTCTGGTACCTCATTGAACGCGAAACTAACATCCGATTCCATTCAGACTTTCAATATTTTTATCCACACAAGATATGTTATAAAGATGGAAGAGATCCGATTATTTTTTCAGGTTTTTTCCGCACAAAGGGTTCAAAATTTTGAAAAACAAAAGCTCATGAAACACCAGTTCTCTTCATATTTAACGCACCCAAACATTTTTGCTAACACATAATACTAATACATGAGCCTTTTTATACAGTATTTATAGCTTTACTTACCAAACCTTCCCCAAGGAGTGCTTCTTAATCTGTCTAGGCGGATTTGCCACAGGCATTTATTACAGATTTTACACAGCTTATCGTTCCAGTATTGCAATTGTACTTAATATCCTGTAACTCTAGTCTGCATTTTTTCAGCTGCACCACCTCCCCTAATCATCTTCACTTTCCTGCCAACATGAGCTTCCTTCGTAGATGTCCATCCTTTTTCGTCTTCATCTCGCTGGCGTACATTTCATCTTTGAATTCCGTCGTATTCCGTTTGCACGAGGCTAGAAAATCTTGCTTTCTTTTCCACTTCGATTCTTCAGTGTTTGATTGCGTTCCTTTTAAGCTTTCGGGATCTAATTATTGTTCTTCCCCAAGTACTCCAACTTCAGTAATGGTGTCTTCTACTCCAACTATTTCGCCTTTGCTGGTATTTTCTTTTATTTTCAAAGGGAACTCATCACGCTCTGTTTCGAATACTCTTCGAACCTCTTCATCGCCGTAATTTACATTCTAATTACATTGATTACCATAAATGAATGCATCTTTTCCCCAAGGAATGCTTCTTCATCGGTCAGGGCATACTCGCCACAGGCATTTATTTATTCAACTCATTTGTCAAATTAAAATAATTTCTAAAATATTTTGCTTAAATACTACACCAGGAACCAGATCCGTCTGTGTTTCAAATTTTCTGACTTCTCCGCTGAATTCTTGTCCTCCTCTTTCTTAATTTTCATGTTAGAAAAGCGGTCCTTGTGGTAGATGTTCAAATTGCAGAGTCTTTCTGAGAATCCCGAAATATAAGTAATAGACTTCAATACTTTTTTCTGTCCAGATTTTTTATTAGTTCGTCAATGGTATTGGGAAGTCATTTGGGCTTAATATGTCTTTTTTCTTCATTTCATTCGCTGGTTTGAATTCTGCATGACTTATATTGTGTGCCCGTTTAATAAAATTTTCGGAGAGGAATGGAGTAGAAGTCAATTGTCCTGGAGCCATTAGCTTTTGATACCAATCGAACTTAAGTGTACTTCCTTGTCTGATGACTCTTCTTTATAATTTAATTTCATTGATTTCCCCATTCGACACTCCTGTTCGTAGCATGGCAATATTTTTGTCCTAATTCGTGATATCTTAAATCAAGGCCCTTAAAGGCTCTCCAGAGACCTATAATTGGAACGCTATCTTTTGAACGAATTGAGCTAGAAGGCTAAAATTTTGCACAAATGTTAAGTTTGTAAATGGGCCGTGTTGTTCCACGTTTTCATATAGCCCCCATATAACGCGTCCTCCCGATATTCGGTATTTTGATGATTTTAGCGACATTTTTCACCGGAATTGTTTCAAATTTGGTATTTGAAGTTCGAAATGGATACTACAGCCTAAGACAGAAAATTGTCGGTGCAGGTCCACGTCTTCGTATAGCCCCGGTACCTCCCTATAATCGGTATTTCGACGAGTTTAGGGTCACTATTTACCGAAGTAGTTTCAAATTACGTATTTAGAGTTCGTAATAGAAACTACAGTCTGTGACAGAAAATTTTCTATGTAGTTCTACGTCGTATAGACCCCAATATAACGGCTAAATTCGGTATTTTTAAAATTTTAACAGAATTCTTAACGGATTTTTTGCTAAATTCGTTTCAAATGGTGGAGGGTATTTAAAGTTCGGCCCGGCCGAACTTACTGCTTTTTAACTTGTTTATTTTCACATATTACACCACCTCCTTTTTCCCTCCCCAACACCTTGCCTTCATTATTGCAAAAACAAAACATAATATTGACCTTTGACCCATGCCATACATTGTCCATATTTACATGACTCCCAACCAAATAGCCATGACCATAATGTTGTCAAAGAAAATTATCCAGTTGCCTGACCAGCATAAATGCAAAATTGCAATTTCGAGCAATGGTTGCTACAACACCGGTACGTGGATGGAAGTTAATTTGGGATCAGGGACGTGGTAGAGAAATAATGTAGAATGGCATCCGCCACACATAGTTATTTTAAAACATAAAAACATTTGTCCACCCTCGAAATCATGGCCAACCCTGCTCTCAAATATTTTTCAAACCATTCAATACCCCCCAAAAAATTTACGACCACATTTGTAGAAAAAGTTTAAATATTTGTTCGAAAAAATCGCACATTCTTTATCGATATTTTTTGGGAACAAATATTCGAGGTTGGCATGCTGCACATTTTGGGAACACACACACGTCGTGCACACAATCACACCACATCACACCACAATTCATAAAACTGTGATAAACGTTATGCAAACAATAAAAGTTCAAAGAATAACAACAGCAGCAGCAACAACAACAACAAAAAACCATTGAACATTTTCCATACCTAAAACATTTCGACGGCACTTAGGGTACACCAACGGTACATGTACACACAGGCACACACATAAATCTCTCTCTCTCTTGGTTGCCCATCATACATGTATGAACGTTTCTTTTGTTTTGAAAAGGTCAAGTATTATTACAACAACAAGGCTTAATAGATATATAGGTTTTTCTTGTTCTCCATTGGTTTGGTTTGGAATGGTTGGTGGTATATCTCTTGAAATTAGATCAGGTTTCTCTCCCATGACAGGATATATCATTTTCTAGTTTCTAATAGTTCTGATTTCATGCTCCGAATTCTCAAACAACATAGATAATGAAAAAAGTTTCCAAACCAAAAAGACGACATTTTCGTCACTGAAAAATGCATTTCTGTGTCAAATGCTCCGAACTTAACCAATATGTCAAGCATTTATTGGCTATGTGTGGGATAGGGAGAGAGAGGCTGATAGGTTTATGGCAACATAGTTCCGCTCTCACGTATTGTCTCGTATGTGTGTCAATGGAAGAGAAATTTGGATGAAAAGTTTTGTAGGAAAAGGAAAATTTGGAGAACAATGCCGCATGAGAAGTTGCGGTACAAACATCCGCAGATTTATGTAACAAAGCCAATTTACCTCCGAAA